TGCTGGTAAGAACTGGATCTGATGAGGACAATTGTTGTCTTTATTTCCTCCTGTGTTCTTTCCCCTCGTTTCCCCCTTTCTTTCTTGTGCACTTTTGTATACTAAATATTGAACACCTTCTTTGCTGAGCCAAATCTAAATATCACTAGACAAAGTACAGTAAACAAACATACGTGCAGATTTGGGAAATCACATTTATACTATAAATCAGTAAAGGTTAGTCTTTGCTTTACAAAAAAGGATTATTACTTAAAAGTACTTTATAAACACAATATAATGATTTTTTTCTTTTTTTAAATATAAAAAATAAGAATTGTTGTGGTCTGAGTGTTTATGCTTCCCCTAAAAATCCTGGGTTGAAATTTGCTTCCTGATATGATGGTATTTAGAGGTGAGTACTCTGGGAAGTGATTCATCCAAGGAAGTGGTGTTAGTGCTCTTACAGAAGAGGCTTTGTAAAGATCGCCTCATCCACAGTTCAGCGAGATTACAGTAGGAAGGCATCATCTATAAAAGAGGAAGATAGCCTTTTTCAGACATCCACAGAATCTATTGGTGACTTATGTTGGACCTCTCAGCCTCTATAACTGTTAGAAATAAATTTTTGCTATTTATAACTACACAGTATATTATTAGGTTTTTTTTTTATAGTAATCTGAATGGACTAAAAGACTATTGAATCAAATGCAGACTCTAGGGCAGCCTGACTTTATTTTTCCTAATGAACATGATAAGATACCAGGGAATGGAGGAAATTCTGCCAATGTGATGTTAGACCAAGAGGTAGTTGGGAACATTTGCTACATATCACAGTATAAGTTTCAGAGAGAGGTCCAGATATAGGCTGGTGTATAATAAGTAGCAAATTGATATATGGAAGGACTCATCCGTGATAAGGCAAACAGGAATCCCCCCAAAAACCTTAGAGTTAGGCACAAAATTAGAATAATTGACAAGTTAAATAGAACACAGTTTGAGAAAGCTGACCTTTGACAGAATGACTTCAACAAATTGAGAAGAAATATTTGAAAATATTGAGAAAACAATAATAAGCCAGAGAGTGCAAACCCAGGATATCGAAAACACATGAATAGAAATTACAGTAGAGAGAATTAAAGCAAATAAAGGAGAAGTAAAACCTAAGAAATAATGCTGAAAACATCATGGATCTGCTGCATCCATGGAAGAATTTAAACAGTCTTCAAAGGTCAACTTTGTAATGGAACAAAAATGAAAAAGAAAAGAAAGTGTAAGTCTCATAGTTCAGATAGGTTTTTGACTGTAAAGAGCCTAGGCACATAGAGGTATTGCCACAAGTGTTGAGCAAATAAGGTAGAAAGCACCTGCAAAAGCATGGAATATTGAGAGGCTGGCAAATTCAAGTGACAAGTGACCTAGTATTCATAGAACTTAGAAGATGTGTTCAAGCATGTCAAATGATGTTGGAAGCAAAACAGGATTATAATAGTAAATGTAATCCAACCAAGGAGACAGGACTTCGTTTGCAAGATCTTGGGAAAGCATCTAAGCTTTCTATGTGATCCCATTTTCATTCTAGAATAATCATCCTGTATTCTGATATTTTGGAGCACAGGGGAAGTTGAACTGATAAAAGCTGCTTTAGCTTGAGTGCATTTAAACTTTAAAGAGTTTTATATGCGTATTCTGGAACCGGGATACAAACAGCTAGCACTTTTCTCAGGGGGCAAGAGGAGAAGCATTTAAAACATGCAGGGAACAAGACTAGAAAATAATTTAGATTACTGTAATTATCAAGGAAAATTCCTGGGAAGATGTTAGTTGGTAGTTTCTGATCGGTACAGTATCCAGCTTCAATTTGTTGTTTACAACGGGCTCTGGTGTATTCACATGGGAACTCAAAGTGCGAGGCCCATCAGCCTATCCTAGTGTGCAGGCCTCTCAGTTTATTTTATCAGAGTGGTTGGGTGTTTCTGAAAGAGTTTATTAGATGTTTGGGCCTCAAAGTGTTGGTTTGGTAAGTTGGTATAGGGCATATAGATTATAGGAAACAAATTGAAGGATACTGATGCATAGAATTAAATGATTTATTGGATGGGAAAGAATGAGAAAGAGGAATGTGTTCTTATTATCTAGATTGACATAATGGAAGTAATTCTAATTACTGTATAGGTAATACAATATGAAGTGGGCATTTTTGTAGATCGAGGAAAGAATGATATCAATTTTTTATATCCAAGTAGAGAAATGTAATTGAAAATTCATTCTATGAGTTTGTAATTTAAAAGATAACTGCTAAACCGGGTGTGGTGGCACAGGCCTATAATTCCAGCACTCGGAAGGCTGAGGTAGGAGGCCATCCTGGGGTAAAAAGTGAGCTCAAGGCCAGCCTGAAATGTATAGTAAGACCCTGTCTCAAAAAGACAAAAAGAAAAATGGGTAATTCTTGACAGGTAATAGAGCTGTATATATAATCTCTATCTGCAGCAGTAAGATATAGCAAGAAATGTGATCATTTGAAGAAAGTTAGCAAGTAGAAATAAAAAAGAAAGCCTAATTTAGTAAATTGAGATTTAAAAGAACATAACCTAAATTAGCCACTAGAGATTAAAAATTATCTGGGCATGATGGCATATGCCTGTAATCCAAGCACCTGGGAGACTGAGACAAGAGGATCCCTGCAAATTCAACGCCAGCAAGAACAGTCTGAATTATATAACATAATCCTGTCTCATGCAAATAAATAAATAAATAAACAAATAAATGTGAAAAAGATGAATGAATGAATGGACAAAAACACAGGTTACCCAAATGTTTAAATGTCTTTCAGAAGGAGAGGAAGCAATAATAAAGGCTTAAAAAAAAATTAAAAAGAGAAAAATCGGGAGTGTGATGTTATTGCAACTCAGGAAAAGAATTGTGTTAAAGTAATGGATTAATTGACATTGCCCAATCAAGTTTGGAGGCCAACTTTACAGACTATCTGTACTTTGTGATTTGATAGTCGACTGATAATCAAATACTGGTTATAAACCAGGAGACTTCATCCTAGATAGATCACAAATTGTTAAACTTAGCTTATGTGGCAAAGATAGGTCAATAATTGTGTCGTGGAAGAAACCTTGGATTTTTAAAACTTCAAGATTTAGTAAGTAAATGGCTTTTTTGAAAGGCTTATTTCATGTCTGGGAAGGGACTATTGACAAAGACTTGGGAGGGGGTACTTTCAAACATAACATCAGAATTAATTCCTATTTGTTCATTGCTTGGAAACCGTAATATGTATCAGATAATTCTGTGACCTTAATATTATAAGCAAAGGTCCGAAAGGTTAGGCAAAGGTTTTCCTTTTTTAGAAAGTAGTAAACAAGACTAGAGAGAGATTGGTGTAAGAAAATGAGATAAATGAAGCCTCATGACCTGACAGTAGATCAGAGCATTCTTGAATATGTGACTCTCTTATTCTCAACAAAGGTTGTGAGGCCTCTTGTTGACTCAGCCTATAAAGGTGGATCAGGCTCAGGCAAAGCATAAAACCTTAACCAAAGTTTGGCCCAGAAGGGTTTTATTCTAATTAACAGTGGGCACTAAATAGTTCAGCTAATTGTTAGTAAATATATCTATGTCAGGCCTTAAAGGGAAGCAAGAAGGGCATTATGAGTTTAGGTGTATCAGTCATATGAGGAAGAAGATTGCTACTTTACTGTAAGGCACTTCCTAAAACAAAGAGGTGAGGTGATTTCTTAATTTCCAAGTCTTTCTAGGATTACAGGGACCAAGCAAAATTTAACACTGTCAAGTCTGATGGACGAGTTATTGCACAGGATAATATTACAGCAGGATATCATTCTCAGATCAATGTCAGGAAAATCTTTTGGAGGAATGGACTTGGTTTCCAAAAGGCCAAACTACTGAGACAATTGAGTGGGTAGTTCAGAAAAGTGGATTGGCATGTGCAGAGTGCATTAAGGTGTCACTAACAGGCCTCTCTCCGGAGTTTCAGAGGTTGGATCCTGTCAAAACGGAAGCTACTCCATCAGGTGAGGGAGGGAGGTGAGGCTGAATAAGTAGGAAACAAGTAAATCAGGAAGGACGTTCTGTGCCAAGGCAAGAAATTTGTAATGGGTCTCCTGGTGCCATCAAATAAATATATTAAGCAATCTTGCCATGCGATCAGGTTTGCATTTTGGGATTTCACCTTCAGCTGTAGTACATATTATGGTTTCCAAGCAGTGAACAAATAGGAATTAATTCTAATGTTATATGTGAAAGTATAAACCTGAAGCAGAACTTTTCTATAATGCTTTGTGATTTCTTATACAGTACATAGCTAATCATGTACACAGGACATAGAAGTGTATGTTTTGAACATCACAGAGATAGTAATCTTCAGATTAAGTGCCCTAAGCATAAATGTTATATTTTAAATGCATTATTCTACACTGAAAACAAGTAATAGTGACCTTATTTCTAAACACTCAAGTGATCAATGAGATATACAGAGTGTATTGTCTCAAATTGAAAGATTTTCAAGAAAGGAGATCCTTCTTAAAGGTAATATCTTTCCCAAGGGAATGCATATGTTCAAATAAAAGCATGTAACATCTTAGTAAAGCTATAGCATTTTAAACTACTGTAACTTATTTTATCAATTCAACATACATGAGTTTTTTTGTTGATCCACAGCCTACCTTTAAATTTCATTGGCCACCATTCCATTCCACTTCTTTGAGAGATCAGAATGATTATGGTTAAAATATTCCATATATGTTATCATATTTGTGTAAGAATCTGGACTGTTATTAAGAATCTTGCATTTTGTGCTGAAATTACTTGATGCTAATGATTCTTAGTATTTTACTTTAACAAAAATGCTACTAAATATATTGACTAACTATTATGCCTAACAGATACCTATGAATATTTTATTAATTTTTCATATCATTATGTTATCAGGCTCATAATAGCTTTAAAAATATTTTCATGAAATTTGAGGTATTGAATGTATTTTCTTTATACAGGGAAAAACTTATGAGGATGAAATTAATAATATTAACCATATTATTTCAAGAATTAATGAAATTCTGGCTCATAACTCACCAGTTTTGATCATTCAAAGATGGATACGTGGTTTCTTAGTTAGAAAGCATTTAAGGTATGCTGTATTTCTTTACTACTTGAATAATAAAACAATAAGAAAATCAGTAATAAAGTCAATTCTCTGATAATTTGCATTTTTTTGTATTCAGTATCCTCAGAAAGATGTTTTAAAAGGTATTTAGGCTAGTTTTAAGGAAAATAACAAAGAAACTATGCTGATATATATGTATATACAGGTAATATGTAGCATAATCAAAATCTGATGCTATATCTTTTATTTTACATTGAATCTAAAGTAATGAGCCTTTACCAATTATTATTTGAATAGTTCTGACATTTAAAAAATCAAATTTAAAGCCATAAATTAGTAACTCATATGGAAATTCCCTCAATAATTGGACATAATAGAAATAGAAGCCATGAACTATATAATGAGATACTGTAGAAATAGAAACCATGAAAAAATATATACAAGGAGTTTATGTTTTGTTTGGATCTGAAGACAGTTTTGCTAAAACGTCTAGCACATCCATCAGTATTATACCTTAGCAAGTTGTCCTTTATACTATTTTTTCTTACATTCCTTTGCAGTTGCTGTTCTTTGCAAATCAAGGAAACTTTTTCTTGAGGCTTTCAATACTCTTGGGAAGATAAGATAAAGATGTATGTAACCAGTACATATGTAATTGAACATGCTGAATATCAAACTTGTGAAAAAATAAGTGAATATTGTATATAGTTTAGTTTGAGTTACAAAACAATAAAGTTTAGGAGATAGAAATGAAATTTGGCTCTGGTGTAGAGCTGGGTATGGTGGCACTTGACTATGATCCCAACACTTGACTATAATCCCAACACTTAATTATAATCCCAACACTTAGGGTGCAGGCAGATTGAGGCAGTTCGAGGCAAGCCTGGGCTAAGGAGTGATTTCAAGGTCAGCCTGAATTATATAGCAAAACTCTTTTTAAATTAATAGTAATATTAGTGATAAAAATACGGATACAATAAGACAGACATTTCCTGAGAAAGTAACATTAGGGGATTTCACTGACATGAGATTAAACATTCTGTGATAAGGAAGAGAAATATCCTCCTTTACTAACCTCTGTGTACTAAATGCGAAGTGGATCCCAGTTTGCTTAGGACGAATGTCTGCACTGCATACTTTCATCATCCCCCTTACAGTACCGTACTTCTCTTAGCTGTGTAGTTGTCGGTGTAATCAGATGCATGGTGGGGTGGTAAGTAGAGACCGCATCCCTTCTTTGTTTTCCATTCTCATCTTGAACATATAACAGACTGCTTGATGCATGTTGAGTACTCTAAACATTTCTGCTGAATTGATAAATGCATCAATAAATTAAAAGAATGTGGGATCTGGAATCAGAAAAGCATTTCTAGATTCTTCCATGGGTATGTGAAAGCAAGTAGGAAACACTACTTCTTTCCTATCTTTCGGATAGGAAAAGCTATCCTAAGGATTGCCGGTGGATTGCCACACTGAGGAGTTCCAAGTGATTGGTCATCTTATGTCTATTTCTAACCCTGAGCAGTATCTTCCAACTCTCAAATATTTTGCACTTTTCTTGAAATGTTTTGCTTATGCTGCTTTGAAATATCATATATTTCACTGAAGCATAATATACATCCTAAAGGATTTAGAGATTTTTTGGTTTTTCAACTCAAGATATATGACTTCAATATTTTGTTGAACCATTACTTGATTTTTTATCAGAGCTAGGCATTAGTTCCTTCTCTAACAATTTCATCACATTTTAATTTAAAACATTTAGTTTTCCATTTTGTTAGAGCGTTTTCTGTTCTGTTTATTTGTAATTACACTCCTTCTAGTCTACTCCCTCTATCTACAATAAGTTTTAAGTGTAAATTCTTTTTCTGAACCCAACAGCTATTTCTACATATGTCTAGTCTTCTTGCTATCTTTTTGTTCATTTTGAAATAATAGGTTATAGTTTTCTTTTGTTAGGTCAGCTTCACTTTCTTTTTTTTTTTTTTTTTTTTTTTTTTTTGTTTTTTCTCCGGTACCGGGAACCGAACTCACGACCTTGCACATACCAGGCAGGCGCTTTTTGCCGCTGAGCTAAATTCCCAGCCCAAGCTTCACTTTCTGACATGTACTGTCTAGAGCATTGTCATTCTCCTTTTCGTCTTTTTCTTTGCCATCACTCTGTAGTCTGTGTTGTACTAGCGGAAACGGTTTGTTGCATTTTTTAATGAAAAATTAGTTTTTCTGAACTTTAAATTTTCTTTTTTCCTTCAGATCCCAAATCATTTCTTCTATCACTTTTGTGTAATGTCCATAAATATTGTGGGTGTGCTTTTTGAGAGCTCCAGCTGTGGTCCATACTATTTCCTTTTTAATGTGGCCCCCCACATTCTCCTTTTTTCTGTTTCTTTGTGTGGCTCAATTTGGATTCTGTCCTCAGGAGCTTCTCCTCAGCTTTGAACCTGGGTCTTTGGGGGTTCAAAGTCTGACAGTAATCAGCATCCTTACTAGAGAATGCTTGTATTCATACACTATGGAAATATGGAAAACCCTTTCAGTGTTTACTTTGTCTTCTTAAATTGACGCTCTGAAGTCTCTAGGAAGTATTTTTCTGTCCTTTTGCTATTTATCACATGCTTCTGATGGAAGATCTTTTTTCTCCTACGTGATTGCTAACAGAACAATGGTCTTATAGGTGTCAGTACATTGTGCCTACTTATTTGCATTTTGGATATCCAGAGGAAACCTTTCTGTAATATGATACCAAATAGTCACAATAGGATAAGAATGGTTAGGTGAATGGATATTTAAGTATCAAGAGACATAAGTTAGAGTAATTCAGATAGTTATTTTCAAATAGTTGAATATTTCTTATAAATAAAATTGATAAAAGAATTAGGCTTAGTGGACAGAAGTTACAGAAAGGCAGATTTCTTATGTTCTGAGGAAAATTTCTAAGTATGTGATGGGCTGTATCATGCGGTTATAAATTTATTTTGACAGAGAGTATTAAAGTAGGAGCCATCTGAACATCACAGTTTTAGTATGCTAAGTTTTTTGGAGCTCAGAGTTTATTATTTATAAAGTTTAAGGTGTTTACATGCTTTCTTTAAACAAATAAATATGATCAAGTGTAATAAAGCTAGGTTTCAGCAGAGGTCAGAGTTTATTTTTTATGAACTTTAGCCATAAATTAGTAACTTACAAGTAAACATGATTCTACTTACAAGTAAACATGATTCAATTCCTTTTGTCTTTTTGAAACAGGGTCTTGCTATACAGTTCAGGCTGGCCTTGGTCTCACTTTATATCCCAGACTGGTCTCGAACTTGCGATGATCCTCCTGCCTCAGCATCCCAAGTGCTAGGATTACAGGCATACGCCACCATACCTGGCCTCAGTGTTTATTAATATAACAGAATCTAGTACAGAAGTAACATAGGATCATTTTCAGACCAGGAGCAAGAGAAAGAGGGCCATAATCATCACATTATAATGTTTCCAGAATGCTTTAGCCAATTTGATAATGTTTCTTTATAAAAGAAATATTGTTTATTTAATTCATTTCTACATAGCAGAGATTCTCAAACATGTGGGTTAAACTCTATAGAAATTTACTTTTTTTATAACAGAGGACTTTTCTGTAGTCCAAAAATTCTTGGTGATTGCACAAAGTCAGGTTTCCAACCTTCTTTTGTGTTTTTACTTTATTTTATATTGTTCTGTGTTCTATCCTCATAGTTGTTTATGGTCCAATATGGCTGACAAAGTTTCAATCATTATATCTGAATGCATTCTGGAAGACTTAGGCAATACAGTACAGCAGAAAGGATGTATCTTACCACCAAAATGTCAACTTTAATCAACTTTCTTCAGAATACTGTATTTCTTCTTTCCTTCACTTGTTTTGCCAGAATTTTGTTACATGAATGTGAATATGAATTTTGTTGTCTCTTTCCATTGGGAAGGAGATGTGCTAGGAACAGAATCTTTTATTTCATTATCTGTATGCAATTTAGCTTTCATTACTAAGGCTGCACGGAGGAATGGTGTTGGACAATATTTAGCAGTTTCTGTCACAAAATATTGGAGAGTAGGAGACAAAATCATGTTATTGCTTAGCACTTCTACATGTATATATGAATAAAGAAGAATCCTAGAGTTGAAAGATTAAGAATTTGTTGCATGAAGATAAAAAACTTCTGTTTACATTCAGGTATAATTGTTAAAAAGGTAATATAGTTAATGTAAGAAATTGATGAAATAGAATTTATTATATATAGTGAAAATGACAGAATTACATAGAAGTCAATAAAGCCAGGAATAGGCAATTTTCAAAAGCCAACAAATCGATAAAGCTTTAGCTAGATTAATAATGCAAAGAGAGCTAGGAAAAATACAAATCATTGAAGTAAATAAGGTAAAAAGAATATCTCTGCAAATGTATGAATTTTAGAAATAATATAATGAACAACTTTCTAACAAATAATTTAGCAGTTTTTATGTGAAATGGGCAAATTCCTTAAAGAAACACAATTTTCAATTTAATTGGAGAAGAAATCAAAATGTTGAACAGTCCTTCATATATTAAAGCAATTGAATCCATCATTGAAATCCTACCAACAAAGAGACATTAGCCCTAAGTGGCTTTTCTGATGCATTATTATAAAATACTTGAAAACCAAGTGTAATTATTTGTACAAAGCATCATACACTATATACAGTATAGTATATTTATTCTAGGAAGAGAAGTTTAGTTTGATATTAGAAAATCAATCACATTAAAGAATAATAAGTGAGGAAAAATACCACAGCCCTTGTTAAACTTGCTCAATATCATGTTAACTGAAACTTGTGAAATTATGAAACTTCTGTGTCTTTGCTTTGAATGGGTCCAAGGAAACTGGTATTTTTGTATCATCTTATCCCATCTTACATAGAATAAGCAGAATTCTAAGGTGGGCCATATGGCCTTTGCTGCATTATATTACTCTCATAATTATTATGTTTCAGAGAAAATGATCTTTTGCAGATGTAATTAACGT